CATTATCTCTTAACTCATGCCTAAATTTTTATCAGAATAAAAAAGGGGGAACTTCATGCGTTGATTTAGCCATGGAAGTATTGGAGGTAAAGGTATAGGTCATTTCTTTAGGACTTATTAAAGTTGAAGGTTTTATGCATTCTACTTCGGCTGCATCATCTCACCTGGATGTTTATGACTACCTCCAACTAAATTATCTGCGTTTGTATGTCTCCGTTAAAGAGTTTTAAGGGGACTTCGGTGTTTTAATTTCTGTCTACTTTTTTTCTGTACACTGATTACTTATTTTGGAACCCTGTCAACCAACGCCTGCTCATCATATGGCAGTCTGGAGGAAACACCTTGAGTATAGAAGGGAAATTAAGAATATGGCAGTAACTTCATCTTGTTAAATGACTTAATCCCTCATACCCTTAGGTTTCAGCCGTTTGCGTTATTGCGTGTTGAAGTTACACCTTGACTTGTCAACTGAGTAGTAGTATGATCAACTCTTCTCACTTGACAAGTGTGGCTCTTAACCCAGGGACAAGAAACACCCAATCTGGTTAATTGATTCACTTGAGGATCTTGTAACTTATTCTTATACACAATCGACCTAACAACTTGGACTACACCACTAGAGAGCAATTTTCTACTTTGATTTTATTCATTAACCCAGTAAACAAATATTATTTCAACAAGTACTTTAGTTATTGATATTAGATGGTTGGAGGCAAGTGGCCACACGAAGCCTTGCTTGACCTAGGTTTCGTTCCATTTGGCACTCATCAGTCAGCAAGGCGTATGTGGAACTTTGGAGGAACTCATTTCCCTTCTGAGATTTGAACCCACGTCACCCAGTGCTGCAGTTAGTTAGAGTAGAGACGTTACCACTGAGCTATTTGGACTCACAAATGATCTCCTTCAAGGTTGCAGATACTCCTTGACTGGTGAGTGCCAGCCAACAAGCACGAAACCTAGGTTAGACAAAAGTTTCTCCTCGATTACCTCCAACTATCCAATAACAATAGTCCAAAGGGTAGTGCATCGTGATAGCGAGTCACCTTGTGATGGCACCAAACAATGGACTAGACACATTACACATATCACTAACCAGTGTGTTCAATCAAGGTACTGTAGTTATCGGTCATTAAAGTGATGGATATCTAATATCACGTGATTATTAAGTGGCATAATTGGCAAAGGAGTAAAAGATGTTGTTGTTCAACTTGTTAGTAGTATGTGCAGAAATAATTGAGAAAAATATTCTAGAATTATGAACGAATTTTACAAATTGAATAGAGGCATAAAATCAACAATTTTCATTTATGTAAGGGTCAAATCAATTTAGTTGAACAGAGTTCAAGGCTATAGATAGAGACTAAATTAAGGTAGGTGATTACATTATCAAAACAAAATATAAATTAAAATAATTAAATTAACAGAAAAGAACAAAATAATTAAATACTGTGAAGGATATTTGTCTATGGTAAGGCAAGACTGTGTCGGCGGCATAGCGGTTAGAACGTTCGCCGACCATGCACATGGTCCGGGGTTCGATAACGGGCCGACACGCTCCTTTACCTCACTGAGCCAGAAATAATGCTGGTGAAGAGGAAAGGTTGGGCATGAGGCTAGCAACTCCATCCTGTAAAATAAACACTGCTACAGAAACTTCAAACCACTAGCTTGAAGCCCTATATTCCACTGGGGAACGTGAAGGAAAAAAAGGTAAGATTGATAACGATTTCCTTTTTAGGAGGCATAAGTTCAGTGTTAATCGTTTAATGTCAATCACTTCAGTGATGCACAGCAATATAGAGCTGTTTTGAATTTTAATTATCATAAGTGATTGTAATGTTCATTCAGACATCTATATATATGAACACAAAATAATTGAGCAAAGAATATCCTTTTCGATAAATTCCTCCTCCTCTGATTCTACAATTATATATACGTATGTGTATATACATAGAATATTCTAGGTTAGTAGTCAATAACAATATCAGTGTGCTTTTTAAATAATATCGATTTGTAAAGTAAGATCACAATGGAATCAACACAGTTCATTAAAGATGCTTAAATTATAATAATAATAATAAGAATATAATAGCAAATAGAATATCAACTAAACTTAGGAAAATTTCCACAAAAATTGAGGATCATTCAAACCTAGATGGCCAAGTGGGTAAGGATAATATCTGAACTAACTTCTTTTGGATGCATAAATTAGGCTTGTTAATATTGGATCCCAGTAGCCAGCCTCAGCAATATTTTGTAGTCGAACTCTTAAGGCAAAATTGAGATTCGTTAGTATGCGGTAAATGACCCTGAAAGCATGGTTAACGTCAATCTTGTGCCGTGTATCCGCAAGATGAGAGAGAATAGCGCTGCGGATAGATTTTGTTTGTCCTTCATTTAACCCTTTGGGAATGCTTTTCGTGACGCATCCTCCAAGTCTGAATAGTGTAGAAGCTGTGAATGACTTGACATGAATGTAAGAGATCTAAAATCTTGTTCTCGATGCTGTGGGCAGAAGATTTCCACACTGAATGTCTGTCATGTCTTTCTGGCCCTGTAATTGAAATGATGCTGCCTAGATGAGTGACAGACAGAGTTGGCTTCCTTCACTTTTCTTCCACTGATGGTGGTTGGTGTTTCTTGTTGTTGTCACCGTCTGGGTATCTTCATCCCCCCCCCCACATCTTCACTACTACTAACGCGTTCTGTTGTTGGTTTTCGCCTGTAGATCTTCTAGTGTGTGTCTATATGAAACTGGACATAAATTATCCACAAAGTCCCAGATCTTCTAGAGCCTGTTTATTGATCCAACGTGTTCCTGTCATCTCGCTCCCTCCCCCCCTTACAATCTTCCACAGGATCCAGTCCACCACAAATCAGGAATATCATCGGTGTTAATAATAATTAATAAGCAACAGCGCGTGTGTCTTGTCTTACACACTCCTGTCCTCACTTCAAATAGCTTCGTTGAGTTTTAACTGTTATGGTTCATTGACTAGTAAGTAGTATAAATTCATGTTAATTATTATTTAGAAGAAAACAAGAAGTTGAACACCACCTAACTAGTTTATCTATTCAAAATAATAATAATAATAATAATAATAATGATAATACTAAGCACGATGTATATCACAATAACAAATTGAATGTATAGAGGGCCACTTTTCTGTGTCTGTGTCTGTGTCACTCAGACCCACACGTGTATGTGTTGCCTTGTTAAGTTTACTCATTTGTGATCTTAAGGTCAGATGTGATAGATAACGAAGTGTGTACGTGTGTGTGTATATATATAGAAGGTTAGACAATCCAATCATATCATCCATCACAAGTGAAATTCATTCACATTTAGCCGCCATATGATGAAATGTATATTTATGCATATATTACTGACTCACTGACTGACTGACTTTATAGTATGTGTCTGAATTGTATTCAACCATTATTTCTTTGTTCAATGTTCACAATAATATAACCCAATGCGCGTTATTGACAATGAATGCATAAATCTATCTGGTTGTTTGTCTGTTTGTTTCAAGGTGAATTATTGAAATGTTGTCACAATGAATATGTTATATAACTAATTTAAAATCAAATCAGGCTAAATACATACATACAAGTAGTTAGTATATTTGTTTTTGTTATGATGTCATTGCGTTTTTATATTTCTCAATAACACTGATGTATTGAAATAGGGACGGTGAGTTTGGACACAGAGAAGTTGGTGACGAATACCGTTTGACTCTATGTCAACAACAAGAACAACATCAGGGAAACTGTATGCCGGTTATCTGTTTCACCAGACTGCACTATTTAGGCGAGAGCATACAATGACATGAGCTGTGAAGAATACTCCACGCTATTCATGTATAATGCATAATATCACCAAGGCTATGTCATTTAGTCTGTAATCATGATAAATAAAATAATGGGCGTTATATCACCCATGCTATAACTGGAAAAGTAGCAGGACCAGACAGAATCCCAGCGGAAGCATTGAAGATGGACCCAGAGACATCAGCGGATTTGATGACACCCTAACTGGAGAAGATTTGGAAAGAGGGCAAAGTACCTGAGGATTGGAAGTAAGATTACTTATTCAAACTGTCAAAGAAAGGAAACTTAAGTCAATGCAAGAACTGGTGCGACATTATGCTCCTGTCTATCCCATCCAAAATACTAAGCCGCATCATCCTGGATGAAAACTTCGACCGGAACAGGCTGGATTAAGGAGAAACAAGTCATGCATCGATCAAATCGCAACACTACGTATCATCATTGGACAGAGCTTGGAATGGCAGTCAGCTCTCTACCTCGCTCAACTTCATCGACTTTGAAAAAGCCTTCAGCAGACAGCGTCGATTGAGAGGTGGTTTGGAAACTACTTTGCTACTACGGAGTGCGGCCAGCAATTATACACCTCATCCAACAGTTGTATGATAATGCTGCATGCCAAGTAATCCACAACGGGAAATTTACGGAATCCTTCGAAGTGAAGACTGGAGTAAGACAAGCTGGCTTCAATGATTTTCCTGATTGCGGCAGACTGGATAATGCGACAGACCAACCGAACTGACTGGACAATCAACGACCATTTTGTCTAGTCACCTGAAAGTCCCAGGTTTCGATATTTCGGTAGTAGAGTCGTGCGTGGGTTCACACTGGTGAAGAGTCCAGTCCCGCCTTGATTTCCAATGGTCTCTCTCTCTGACTGATGTCAGTTCGTGACAACATCATCATCTAACACAGATGAATAGTTGATAAAATGTTTTTAATTTCAAGTTCGAACCCCAAATCTCATGATTGGTCTGTGTTGCGATGTTGACAATCACGGAGATTTTTATTACTTTAGGTAAGTTTAACACAAAATATTTCTCCATTAGTCACAGTAGGTGGGGGTAGGGGGGACCAGTCTTCTTAATTTTATTTGACATCCTATTTTTAATTGGTGTTGTACGATTTACTTATATGGGTTTTTCTCTTTTTCCCATTATTATGAGTAGATTGAATCACCTACATTCAATGAGGCGAAAAGAAAAGAAATTGATAAGTTGAATCTTTCTGTACAGCATATTTCATCTTTACCGTCAACAATAACTCCTCCATCACCGATAGAAGTAGTCAACAAATGTGCAACGATTACATCAACGACAACAATAATGACAACACCAACAACTCCCACTGCCACTACACCACAACCAACTACTACTACTTCTAATACTACTGAAATAGATACTAGTAGTAATAATAATATTGCAAATTCACCTGGAATTGCAAATAGTACCACTAATATGATGATTGTAACTACCTCATCTAGTAATCAAATCACTGCTACTACTACTACTACTACTACATTGACACTTATGTCAGCGGATGATATTCATCCAATCGATGATGCAATCGATATCGACGGGATAGATAATAATGTACAATATGATTATTTATTGAAACAAAAGAAAACGCATACAACTGGATCATTACAATATATTCCACAGGAGGAGAAGAAGACGAAAAAGCAAAAGATGATGGTGATGAAGAAAAAGAGGATCGACGTTTATTCAATCGGTCTAGTGTATCGCCATGTTCAGATATTCAAACCTTTTCAGCATCATCGTCATTATCCTCTCGAGTATCACCATTGACTATTACTGAATCATCATTGAAGACAGATTTCCAGGATGGTATGGCAGTCACACCTACTTCGGCGCCATCATCGTCTTCGTCTACTGTTGCTCCATCATTATTGAAAGCTGGAGTCGAACCGATGGTGAATGATAATGATAAAAACAATAGAAGAAGTACCGCGTCTGTTTTATCGTTAACTTCTCCTTCGCCTTCTTCTTCTCTTCAACAACCATCGTCAAGTTTACAATCGTCAATAAAAATGACTTCTACCATAGAATTGAATGCTACTGATTCACAAAACCAATCGGTACAAGATTCATCGATTGTTCCGTCTGTCAAACTGCGTAGACGGACAACAACAGCACCGACGACTGCTGATTCCACTGCTGCTGCTGCTGCTGCTGCTTCAGCAACTACGAATACAGATGATAATCACAAAGCTTTGTCTATCGTTCCAACTTCTACTGTTACAACATCGACAATAGCTCATTCGCCTGTTTCTATTGTTAATACAAATGATATAAAAAAATCACGTGCTTCTATGATTGAATTGATTAATTGTCAAAGTAATGATGTTTTACGTCAGGTGACATCAAGTCCAGGTTTGTCATTGTCTCCATTATCATCACCGCCGACTCAACTCGTCCAACCACCTCCACCGTCACAACCATCACAAGGACATAAGGTAAGATATTGCCCTTCTTTGATCTATGTGCTCATAAATGTTTATTAACTGACAGTTATGCACCTTATTATGCACACACACACACTGATGGTACTTAGATTATCTATTCAGGAGTTCTGCCTAGTTAAAGAGATAGTTTGAAGAGACTAATTCCTTTTTATTCTTTTACTTCCCGAATAGAACACTTAAGTTTTAAGCTTCAGCTTTGAAGTTTCAGCAGACTGCGGTTTCTAGCTTCACACCAAACTCTCCCGATCTATCGGCGGAGTTTGAAGGTGCTGTTGGGCGGGATTCGAACTCTGAGCCACGTGAGGCGTAGTCAGCGAGTACTCTACCGCCGAACTATCAACATACTGAATATACACCAGTACTGAGATAAGAGTTTTATCGTATGTGTAGAGTAATTTTATGCATTTGAGTGAATTGTCCACTCACTAGGTTAATGGTGTTTAGCAATGAAATCTAGTACATATGTTTTGTCCGATTTGAGGAGTCGTCAATTGTGGATTTATCTGCACTCTTAAGAAGTAGTGATGGTGTTCCCACTGAGGTTCAACCAATCCCCCCTCACTAGGCTATTCTAGTCATAGTATGAGCACTATTACTCAGGAGGATGAGAGTACATTCAAGTCACAAGTCCCACTGTTAGTGATTACTATCAACCTGTTAACCTGTGAACGATTAACTCAAATGAATCAAATATTCTACACACGATTAGCTCATTTTATTTTTATTTACAATCAGCAAGGTTGTGTACATCATGTTTACCGGTTACCTATTTACTGCCTGTGCGCCGCTGGTTCAGTGGTAGAACGCTCACAAACCATGCCTCACGTGATCCGGGGTTCGATCTCCTGCCGACGCACTCTCAAACCTTGCTAAGCCGATAGTAGGGCTGGTAAAGAGAGAAGGTCGGGTGTGAGGCCAACTACCTCACCCTGTAAAAGAGAATAGAATCACTGCTACCGGAACTTCAAAGCTCTGGTTTGAAGCCGTATGTTTTTGTTTGTTTGTTTGTTTTTATCTTTGATTACACCTTGATTCCACACCGTATTTTTGGTACAAGTATGGAATTTTCAGCATGTGGTATCGGTAGTCCAAATTTAGCAGCCCGACCATAGATATCAAGTGTGCATTGGTAGGTGATCGAACCCCGGACCATGTGCATGGTCGGCGAGTGTCCTAACCACTGTGCCACCGACGTACTAGAAAAGTAAAGGAATTTAGAAAACAAAATTGACTACCTTCATCGTCATACTATCTTTACAGACATACAGACATATAAGTTCCCGAAGGAATACACAGCTCTATTCCATGCATTTGATGTTGATGATGCTGGAATAACATAAAATGGCTAATTAATTCAATAGAAATGAGGACACATATCAAGATGTAGTACTAATTCATTAAGCCACTGACTGGTGATCTGGCGAGTTCAGCGGAGTGTTTGAGTTTCTTCGCAATATCCATGTAATCAAGCACCTGTGGTTAGACTGACTGAATTGGCCTTGTCATGGTGGTGTTGTAGCTGAAGAGTGCCAAAACAGCACGAGACAGATGTCCAATACTCCCTGGTTTTCATTTATCTTTCTAACTGGCGTTGGTTCGTGAAGAAATATATAAGAAATGAAATTAAATTAATTCAAATCCTCACAAATCCCACAACCTAAATTTTGATTTATTACTGATATACAATAATAGTAGTAGTAGCGGTAGTATCAGAATATTTGGAGTTTATTCAAAATGAGCGCACATGTTTACATGTGGAGTTGTGCTTTGTTGATTCGTCTACACTCAGTTTTTAAGTATGACCAGTTTTCCTGGTTCGAAACCTCACTGTGCCTTTTAGTGTGTGTTAACTGGCATTGACAATACATTACGCGCCTACCCAGTAGGTTGGTTCAATGGTAGAATGCTTGCTAACCAAACACACAAACACACACACACACACAAAAGCTGTCTGACTTCTATCATTGACCAACGTACTTCTTAAACATCGTCTAGTCAAGAGTCTACTAGCCTGGAAAAGATTGACAGTTGTGTATGAGGCTAGCAATCCTACTGTAACAACAGAAGACAAGGGCCAGGCAACAGATCGTTTATTAAGGAAAATCAACACGTATTTATAGATTTTAATGTACATTATTGTAGATTATTGTTAGTAGAAAATACAGTCTTTTGATTGGTTGTTTCTCACAGAAAGTTAACCTTGCATCTCTTTGTGGCTGGCTGTATCAGATCATCCATATGCTAACTGTATCCGCCTACACAAAGCCTTTGTTCTCATTTTCTCACCACCAGTATTGGGGACATAAACATTGACGTCAATTACTGTCTACCAACTGTGGCTAGTAGAGCCAGCTCTCACCACACTACCACCACTAAAATGTCTAAGCTTTAAAGTTTTATGTTTGCAAGAAATAATATGTGTGTGACTGACAAGCATTTTGTTGATTTGTCGGTGGTGTTTTTTATGTATTTATAGATGGGTGCATGTTTCTCCTTGGTCTTTGAAGGTTGTCCGTTAAAGATCAATTCAACTGCTACATGGACTAATCCAGCTAATAATGGTAATGTCTGTTGGGCTTTATTTTTATTTATTTATTTTTTGTTTGTTTTTCAGAATTTACTTTTCATTGAACATATATATTGTTTGTTGTTAATAGTTAATAGTGTTTCACTGCTCTACTGTGAACATCATGACTTATAGACGACTAAGTTTCAACACCTTTTTAATTGCTTGAAAAAGGAGATCACAAAGATTAAATGATGCATCTGTGCCGTTTAACAACGATTTTCAGCACTAATATTATCAATAGTCTCCAGTTATTCTGTCTGTCTGCCTGTTTTCAACATAGAACTTTGCACAGATGTGCAGCAATTCGAGTTGTCCACTCCGTCCTCCTTTGTGGCTAACTGTGAGACCTGGCCATTGAGATATGAGATATGAAAAGCCTGGCTAGCTGTCTTTGATCATAGGTGCTTGCGTTCCATCTCCCTTGTTGTGCGGTATAATAAGGTGAGCAATCTTAAAGTTAGGCTTCGGTCGAGTGCTAGGTAAGGAGGGAGCGGAAATCAATCGACAAGGCTGTCAAGTTACATCGATTGATATGGTTAGGACATGTGTTGCGTATGCATCCTTAGTCATCGCCTTCATCGACCAACAGGCAATGTTAGCTGACATAGGACAGATCAGGTTGGAAAAGAGTTAGCCAATGGTGGTCAAACCAAAACATGGCCTCACCAGTCAATGAAATACACAACAGTTAGTTTAAGGCAGCCAGCCAGCCATGTAGGAAGGTGTAGACTTCCTAACTGACAGGCTGGTGTCCTCGGGACGGTAAAAACCAATGAAGGCTGGAGACAATTGATGATATGGCTCAAACTCATCGTTATCAATGGCAAGCGCAGATGCATCCACTCCTTGTGACTTATAATATCCAATGACACTATATTGTTCCTCGATATTACAATTCTTTTAGCCTCATATCTCTGTTTATTATCTCTACTTTGAATTTCTCTTTACTCTCTTTTGTTGCTGTCTGTGCTACAAGGAGAAAGTGTGGCGACGCGAACTGCTGCACATCTGTGCAAAGTTTTATGTTCCAGCAGCACACACAACCACCTGCATACAGGAACTTGTCGACAACTTCAAGTGGTTCACCTGCATGGATGATTCACAGGTACAACCTCCTGCCAATTTACAACAGTACTTTGTACTTACCATAGTTATGAACACTGATCGTTAACTTGATTAATTGCGATTTGGGCTGCCATCATGCTATAGAGCAGTAAGATGAAGTCGGAAATTCTTTCTCCAGACAGCAGTACATTGACTTCAGCACTTTATGTTCAGCCAACAGGTCTCAGGTTTGAATACACTGCTCTATCTTCTCCAAACTGACTATCTGAGTGGTGTCTTTAGCCTCCCAACCCACCCATATGTACACACACACAAGTAAGTATGGCTCCCAGCCTTCTTCTGACGTACTGAGACCTTAACAGTATGCAGGTTGATCGAACGTTTCCTCTCACTGAATTATTGATTGTTTGACTGACTGATCGGATTCATGGGTAATTTTTATTTGCTTAGCTAGCAATGAAACCAAATCTATGCAAACGCCTAATACATATAATAACACATGCACATATATATGTATTGCGTGTCTAATACTAAGCATAAGAGAACATACAGTACACTTATGGCGGGGCTGTAAGAATTTTCAATTGCAGAGACAAAAAAAATATATCAAATAAAAATGTTAGTTTAAAAATTATTGATCAAATTTATAAAATCCCTATTTTTTATTTCTTTCTACTCATTTCGTTTTTTCCCCCGTCTATTTTCATTTCTACTTATTTATTTTGGAAAAGATAATGCTAAATAGGGGAGGGTAGGAGAGAAGAGACATTAGACACAGTTTTTGCCTCTACTGTATTTTTGAATCGATAAATAACTATAATCTCCTTTTTTTACGTTTCCTTGTGGAACGAGTTTAATCCATTTACATGATATCAGTGTCTGTGGGGGCGCGGATACGATGGTGGGATGCTTGCCAGCCTCTCTTGGGGTTGGTCGTGTTGGTGGTGGTGGGGCGAGTGTGGTCTGGTTTTTCACCCAGTCAATTTTAAGCTCAAAAAAGGGGGGAAGGCTGGACACGCAAGACTAACAACAAACCCCTACAACTCCGCCTATCGCCTCCCCTGTTGTAACATTAAAGATTTAAAGCCCATGTGTTCCAATCGATACTCGAAGAGTGAGTTACTTGATATTTTACCACTGCATTCTGGCTGGTTTTTTTATACGAAGTTAAGTTTATTAATTTATACATGAAGTCGGCTGAACGTCTAACGAAAGAAGTCCACCTGGCCGGGCGTGAAGACAAACACTTGCCGATGGCATTGGCAAGTGGTGGTCGTGCTAAAGTCATGAATTTTTAGGGCCATTGTATCCTATCCCATCGTCTGAATGATCTACAAGCTCATCCTGTAACTGGAAGGTCGTCATTTCGAACACTGGTGGGTGGGTACTGATGAGGAATCCCATCCAAACTAGGAGGGAACATCTATCCACTACTCCCTGATTTTCATTGGTTCTCTAACTGATATCAACTTGTGATCAAACGTGTTACCAATCAAATCCCTTACGAACCAACACTTGCTAACACTCTGAATTGTTGTTGTCTACGAATAAATTCCTCAAAGTATATATATATATATATATATATATATATATGGCCTAATTCATTGTTAGATAGTTGGAGGCAGTCGGTAGGAAGCTTTGCATCTAACACTTGTCACTACGGCGTGCCCTTGTGAGATTCGAACCCGGGGGGTGGCTACCCAGTGCTGACGAGTTCCAAGAATCATCAAAACTTATGTCCAAAACCTCCTACTAATTCACTCCAACTATCTAATAACACCAATTTATTAGAGCACACTGTGATGGCTACATTGCAAATTGCAGCATATATTGCAAACTTTACTGATGGAATTCAAGAGTTAGTTTGTATTATCATTATTATATTATTATTGTTTCCTTTAATTCCTAGAGGAACATAGGGCTTCAGCCAAGCACGTCTCCATTGCGTTCGGTTCTCTGCTACAGTCTTCACCTGGCTCCAAGTCTGCCCACATGTTTTCATCTCCTCTTCACATGACCTCCTTCAAGTCACCCTTGCACTGACGACCAACTCGCCGCTTCCCATTCGGCGGGTTCCACTCGAGCAATGGCTTGTCTAGTGTGATGTCACTTGATGGTTTCCTCAGAGTATGGCCAGCCAACCCATCTTCATTTCTTCCTGCCTATTTGTTGCAGAATCGGTTCCTGCTGAGTTGGTTTGCTCATTGCCAGAGATCCCTCGTTGTTGCTGATCTTTTCTGACCGGCCATCTGATCTCGAGTATTATTGAGAGAAGACAACTGTTAATGAAGGTCTATAGTTTGTTTGAGATGCTCTTTATGACGCGCTGGCCAAGTCTCTGATCCGTATAGTAAGTAGCATTGACTTCATATTGGAGTTGAAAATCCGGATCTTATTTTTGATGGTGAGTGCTGTTGACCTCCACACAGACTTGAGAGTAGTGAAAGCTTGTCTTGCTTTTCCGATCCTCGTTGCTTTGATATCCTCGTCAGTTTCTTCCCACTGTAGTTGGAACGATGCTTACCAGGTCGGTAGAGAAGGTTTTTTCTTTCAGGTTCCTCCCATTGTGCTGATTGTTGTCTGTTGTTGTTGCTGTTGGTGTTGCCCAGGAATCTTCATCACCTACCTCTGTTTTCTTTATGTTCACCTGAAGTCTTTGATGCTTCTTGTGCCAACTTGTTGCTTTTCGCTTGCATATCTTCCAGTTTGTGGGAAATCAGACGTATATCATCGGCGAAGTCCAGATCCTCCAAGTTAGTTTGTAGGGGTTTGATTTGATTTAAGTTTGACCACGGATTGACATCAGTTAGAGAACCATTGAAAACCACCACCCAAGAGTCCTGGATAGCTCTGTTTCGTCAGCCTAGGTGTTTGGGAATCATTGGCAATACGCGCACCCACTGATGTTCGAACTCGGGATCGTTCAGTTTCTAAGGCAACCTCGTAAACGATTCAGTCATTGGTATCCGATCCAGTGGCCTATGAATTCTCTACTCTAACGTACAATCATGAGTGGTCGCGACAAAGGTGGAAAGTCTCGAGCGAAGGCAAAAACTCGATCTGCTCGTGCTGGTCTTCAGTTCCAAGTTGGTCGTGTACATCGTCTTCTACGCAAGGGAAACTACGCTGAACGTGTCGGTGCTGGAGCACCCGTATACCTGGCGGCTGTCCTCGAGTATCTGGCCGCCGAAGTACTCGAATTGGCTGGCAATGCCGCGCGCGACAACAAGAAGACCCGTATCATCCCTCGTCACTTGCAATTGGCCATCCGCAACGATGAGGAGTTGAACAAATTACTCGGTGGTGTTACCATCGCCCAGGGTGTATGGTTTTAACTGGTAGGTAGGTTCTTTAACTGATATCAATCCCGTGAGCAAACTTGATAGAATTCAGTCTCTATCAACACCAAGGACTAGGCGCTACTACCTAGTGTTAGTATCCATAACAATTCTGCAGGAGGTGGTCAATCACTAGCCTAATATAACTGAGTATTAACTGAGTCTCTGTCTTCAGCGTTGGGTGGTGGCCTGATTTAGAATCTCCTCTGAAGGGAAATGAGTTCCTTCATGACAGCGGATACACTATGCTGATGTAAGAAGGTCCAACAGGCACCAAAATCAGAGTCCAGGGTCTCCGACCGATTACCTACCTCCAACCATCCATCTAACAACAAATAAGTATATTCAATGATACTGTGGTAAGTACTGATAGGGCTTATATTTTAAATGGTTTAACGGTTTTATTACTCTTACTAAATCTGCTGCCGCTCAGGAATCAAATAATACCGCGATGATTTAAATGTTAAAATACACTTAAATGTCTTTATTTTTTTTTCCTTATTTTTCTCAATCTTTTTCTTCTGTGTAGGTCAAGTGATTCTATTTGGAACAAATGATGGTATTTATTGTTTGAATTTAAAGGGATTAGCAGAAAACTCTCTTGAATTGGTAAGAGTAAAACACATGTTTTATTTCCACATACACGCACACCACACACCGTTCTCCCCCCTCGTACCCCCTCCCGCACAGCTCCGATTTATTCCCTTCATAAAATTACCCTTTACTATTATAACATATTGCCTATCAATGTTTTTTGATTATGTCTTGAAAGAAGATGAGTTTTGTGGGCTTTCATCAGCAGCTAACCGTTGTTGTCTAGAAATTTGTCTTACCTACACCAACTCCGGCTATAATCAATAATTTATGAAGGTTGGTGAAAAATATCGTAAGGTATCTATCCCACGTCGACCAAGGTTTCTCTAGTTTGCTTCTTTCAGCACTTGTTTGTAATTGTTTTCTTTTTTTTTCAAACAATCTTGTGAAAACTAGATTCTCCCTTAGTGATGATTAGGATCCCGGTGTCAACTCAGTACTGAGAAATTAGTGATATTGTAATACATATATATATATATATATATATATCCAATTGAGCTGTTCCGTTCTAATCACTGCACCCGTTCCCTTTCGGGTCAAGGCCGAATTGTGCATGTGTTATTATTATTATTGTTCCCTTGGGTTCCTAGTGGAACATAGGGCTTCAACTGCATGCCTCCACTTGCTTCTGTCTTCTGCTGTACTTTTCACTTGCATCCATGTTAGTCCATACTGTTCCAACTCCTCTTCACACGATCTCTTCCATGTCACTCTTGGACGTCCCACTCGCCACTTCCCCTTCGGGTTCCACTCGAGCGTTGGCCTGACGCGCGATGTCACCCAGTGGCCTCCTCGGCGAGTGTCCAATTCACCTCCACTTTCTCCTGCATATTTGTGGGGCGATTGGTTCTTGATTTGTTTGTTCCCATAGTTTCTTGTTGGTGATTCTTCCCGGCGGCCATCTGATCTTCAGTATAGAACGAAGACAGTTGTTGATAAAGGTCTGCAACAGGCTGTTGGAAATATTCTTTGTGACACACTGGCCACGTTTCTGATCCGTATAGAAGAACTGACTGACTTGACGTTTGTATTGAAAATCCGAATCATTTTGTTGTTGATGCAGGCTGAGTGACGAAGATTTCCAGATTGGTTTCAGGTTGATGAATGTGTTTCTCACCTTCCCGATTCTCGATTTGACATCTTCGTCCGTTCCTCGTGTAGTTGAGACAATTCTCCCTGGATAAGTGAATGAAGTAACCTCTTTCCCTCCCGTTGATGATGATTGGCGCGGGATGTTCCTACTGTTGTTATTGTTGGTTTATATATATATATATATATATATATATATATATATATATGTCAAATTGAGCTGTTCCGTTCTGATCATTGCGCCTGTTCCATTTCGCGTCAAGGCCGAATTGTGTTAGCTCTAGAATTACTACAGTTATCCATGTAGTATATATGATCTAAGGGGAACCATAGCTGATATAATGCGCCGTTTGAGGTTTCACCATTTTAAGGTTTATATACTTAGACATGCATGGCTTAATCTCTCAGACAAGCATATGACTGAATGGCAGGATCAACTCGTTTATTCACATTGTAGTACACCGTTTGACTAGGTATTGGTTTTCAGGAGAAGTAAACACATCTATCGCTGTCTGCAGACGATATCTGCATGCAGTGTCATCATGTGGTGCAATCACTCAAGAGCCTTCTCCCTCGATGGAACATTCCCGCCGTTAGTATATTCAATAATGCATAGGTAAGCGTAGTTTTATGGATCAATTATAGACTGCATAGACAAGGTGTAATAGAGCCTATCTCGCATGCAAAACCAGTTGAACGCTTTATTCTAGACAAGAGTAGCATGCGTAGTGATGCTATAATGACACAGGCCCCTATAAATGAACTTGGGTACTGTAGTAGAATGTAACTGAATATTAGATAGGTTTATTTTAAATATCACCCAGCGATGCAGTATTAATAACTGGATGACGTTTTGAGCACAAATTATTGCTGCTCAAAATCATATCAATTTTAGTCACACGGTTTCACAATTTGTCTTATATATATTTTCCCTCTATTCTGTCTGTTTGTTACCACTTTCCATATCTCCGGTACAAGAGGCGTTGCGTCATTCCGATTGCACGTGTGCAGTGTTGAGTTGATAAACAAAGATTCAGTGAATAACCTCTTTGTCTCTCCACCTAACTGCATTGCCTTTTAATACTCTCACCCTATCCCACCCAACTTATTTTATGATTACATGAGAGTGAATGCAGAGCTCAGTTTTTTCTAGGTTGTTTAACTTAACAGGGTCAATTATTCTACATGTAGCTAAATTTTTAATATTCCAATAATCTAGTTGACCTCGATCTGTTAGTTTTACCTATGTGTAATTGATGTCACAGCCATTAATTGCATGGTATTTGGTAAATTTATGTTAAACCGATAAAGTTTATTATTTCTGAAAGAGTTGGTTGGTTGGTTTAAATGCCACCCTAATTCCAGCCTTACTGAGAAGCCAACACCAACCAAATTTAATTGCCTCTGCTATTCGCCACCTTTACGTGATTGGTGGGGGGGGGGGAGTAGTGTTCCTTATCAAGGTGAAAGATGATGAATTTGAACGTTTAGATATGTAGTTCTACCTAGTGGAGCTAGGAAACCCTGATTTCAAACCTGTGGTGTACATACATATCTCCCAGAATCCGAATGTATCGAGTTGCGTATGGAACTATTATTTTAGTCACCGGAAACAATGGGAAAGCAGCTCGTGACTCTGCTATACACCCTGATTATAGGTCGAACTTCAAGTCAAACGAGGTGGTCACCCTCCTTGAGACAAACACCTGATTCAGTCTGGGCGTCTGAGCAGTATCCCAGTCTTCTCACTAACTGTGTAATTTTGTGTGGCACTTTAACAACAGAAGACAAGGGCCAGGCAACAGAACGTTTATTAAGGAAAATCAACACATATTTATAGATTTTAATGTACATTATTGTAGATTATTGTTAGTAGAAAATACAGTCTTTTGATTGGTTGTTTCTCACAGAAAGTTAACCTTGCATCTCTTTGTGGCTGGCTGTGTCAGATCATCCATATGCTAACTGTATCCGCCTAGGCAAAGCCTTTGTTCTCATTTTCTCACCACCAATATTGGCTACATAAACATTGACATCAATTACTGTCTACTAACTTTAGCTAGCAGCCAGCTCTCACCACAGTGCATCTCTCGTTGCCTATAATGTACACTAAGTGTGTGTTTTAGTATTTATAATAAATTGTTAATAAAGTAAAACTGTCTCAGAGAATCCGATCTTGCTTCTGATCGAACAGTACTTTGTATCACATGATATTTCTATACACTGATACAACGAATATGATGTCTAGCTTACTACTAGGTGGCAATATGCATGAAAAAAAAGGGGGGGGTTGAACGTGAGGCTAGGTATCTCCCTCCTCTTGCAAACAGTATCACCTGTACTGAAACTTCAAATGAGCTTGAAATCCTCCTATTTTCCATCCACTTGGAACTCAATGGAATAAAACGGACAGTCTCTACATGTTCCATCACGAGTTGACGTCATTATGAAAACCAGAGAGTACTAGACACCCCGGTCTCATCCCAGTTCGAGTCTCTTCAGGAGAGCTCACGCTCTGAGGTTCGAATCTAGGACCTGTCGGCTAGATTCATCACTTGGATGGAATCCTATAGAGCCCATGAATTCCAACTTCTGCCAGTCTGCGACATATTTATAGTGCAATAGCTGAGTAGCTGTCCCCTTGAAACAACAGAAGACAAGGGCCAGTTAACAGATCCTTTATTAAGGAAATCAACACATATTTATAGATTTTGATGTACATTATTGTAGATCATTGTTAGTAGAAAATACAGTCTTTTGATTGGTTGTTTCTCACAGAAAGTTAACCTTGCATCTATTTGTGGCTGTGTCAGATCATCCATATGCTAACTGCACCCGCCTACGTAAAGCCCTTGTTCTCATTTTCTCTCCACCAATATTGAGGACATAAACATTGACGTCAATTACTGTCTACCAACTTTGGCTAGCAGCCAGCTCTCACCACACCCTAACCCGACTTGGTGACCTCTTACCTGTGTAACCGGAACATCCTGGATCCTTGCAAACCATCACTTGAGAGATAATCATCAATCGGTTATCTAAATGATTTTTTTTTCATTCTATGAGTGTTTTAAACTCATCTACTGTTTTTCTCTCTGCTTACTAGTTATTTCCACGTCGATGTTTATGGTTATCTGTGACACGGGATACTATGATGTCATTATCTGGACGTCATCCACAGCTATATGCTCACAATCTTGTCTCACTAATGAAATTAAAATCACAAGGTCATCCTATGTTTGGTGGTGGTAGTGGTGCCGGGAGTACAGTGGCTGGGGGTGGTAGTGTTGTTGGAACTCCTTCAAAATTTGGGAAATTCGTCAAACTTTTCCCTAAGTAAGTTAAGTTTTCTCTTGTTTGTAATATTTATTATTATTGTTATTGTTATTCGCATTTCATCCTACTTTCTGCAGTTGTCTCTAGCTGGCTCCACAACTTTACATGAGCTCCCATCAGCTCCTCACACGATCTCTTCTATGTCACTCCATATTAGTTTGTTTATTAGATGTATCACACAGTCAGTGAAACAGTATTATTTACTGGATGACGTTTCGAACTAAATTTATTGTTCATAATCATTTCGTCAATTATAATCACACGACTTTGAAACTTGAGTTTTATAGTTTTTTTGTTCTCTCCTATTTGTCATCGTTGGGGTAGTAGAATTTTCCAGATATCTGGGTGGACAGGTGTTGAATCATTCCTATTACACGTATTGTCTTCAGTTGATTCGATAAACAAAGCTTCCTTCAATCAATCTCTCCCTCCACCCTGTGATATTAGATTTTGAAACTGTCATCTTATCCCATCCTATGCTGTATGGTTGTGTGGTGTGTAATTGCATGTAGTGAGTGCTACAGCTGAACTATTCTCTAGATTTCTTATCTTATTCGGGTCAACCAATCTAGATTTTGCTAGGTTTTTATGCTCGGCTAGTCTGACTGCCCCTGTTCTACTAGTTTGACCTATGTATTTCACCTGACAATCATTGCAGACAGGGTATTAAATAGACTAAATTGTTTTGTTTTAAAGGCTCCACAGGATTGATCCTTTAACCGACAAAGCTTGTTTCTAATTGAGTTTGTGGGTGGTTTGAATGCCAGCCACTTTTATTCCTGCCTTGTTAAGAATTCTGAGTAAGGTTTCCGAGGTTCCTTCCTTGTATGGAATCACTACTGATGATTTAGATTCCTTATTGTTGGTGTTGTCATTATCCTGCGGATGTCAGTTTAATGTATATCTGAATCGCCAGTGAGTGAGTGAGTGAGTGAGTGAGTAATGGTTTTCTAAATAACTGCACAAATAACTGGGCGATTGGATGCTATCGCAGTGTGCTTCCAACGGTCAATGGGTTAGCTTTCTAACCTGAAGATCCTCAGTTCAACTTTTCGTTGTTGGGGTCATAGATTGGTTAGGCTGTAGAGTCCCAAACTTGGACAAAACAACTGTCTGTAGCTACTGCTGGTTTTCAATGACAATTTTCAATAATACTCAATCACATTTGCCACTTTAACTCTCTTGTTTATCTGTTTTTTTATTTATTTGCTTTTAAAACACAGACGTTTTTCACCATCAAAAAAGATGCCAGATACAAAAGGTTGTCGATGTGCTAAAGTCACACGGAATCCATTCAATGGTGCAAAATATTTATGTGCAGCTATGACTAATGAAATTCTAATCATGGAATGGTTTAATCCAATTTCATCATTTATTGAAATTAAACGGGTAAGGTGTATACTTGTGTGTGTGTGTGTTTTTATATTTGTTTTTGCTCAAATTGATTGTCCTAATTGTCTTATATTTTACACACATGCTGAGGGGATTGTTGAATGAATGAAATCGCGTGCCAGCCACACCCTGAAGTGGAACCCGCATGGGGAAAAACAAGTTGAGCGTGCGTCTGAGAGTGACATGGAGGCGATCAGAGAATGCGGACTAGCTAAAGAGGACTTCTACTCGAACTCATGCAGCCAGATGAGGGCTTACGGCGAGTTGTCATCTGAAGTGGTTGGTGACAACTAGAGGTGTACGTCAGGGATGCCCACTATCCCCATTTCTATTCAATTTCATCATAGATGTACTAATGGACTTAACCCTAACTGCTGGCTTCAGAGACTCAGGGATTGACTTGCTACCAGGGAATAAGCTCATTGACTTAGAATATGCAGATGATGAAGTCCTCCCTCCTGGGTGAAGACGCTGACAAAATGCAGAGTCTTCTCAACACCTTGAGTTGCAATCTACGAATGTTTGACATGCGATTCGCTCCTGCCAAATGTAAGAGGATGTTACAGGACTGGACTACACTGACTCACTCCTAGCTTACAAATAGGGAGTCAATTGATAGAGCACGTTGACCACTTCGCTTATTTAGGAAGTTGCATCAGCCAGTACCAACGGTTTGATCGCTGACGAAATCTCAGTACGGATACAGAAGGCTAGTTTCGCATATGCCAGTTTACGCCGTCTCTGGCTTAGTAGACGTGATATCCGGCTGGCTATCGACCAAAGGGCGGGTGTACTGCTCAGCGCAACAGTCCGCTCCGTCTTCCTTTATGGCTAGCTGTGAGACCTGGCCATTGAGAGTGGAAGACATGAAAAGACTAGTTGTCTTTGAACATAGGTGCCTGCATTCTATCTCCCGTGTGAAGTGGAATAATAGGGTGAACAATATTGAGGTTAGGTCTTAGTTGAGTGCTAGGTAAGGAGGGAGAGGAAATCAATAGACGAAGCTGTGAGGTTACATCGATTGAGATGGTTAAGACAAGTGTTACGTATGCATCCCTAGTCATCGCCTTCCTCGATGGGTAATGTCAACCTCTATTTATTAAGTTACAATTTAATGGTGACTTATCAAGTGAGATTTTGTTCCAGAGGCTTTCCAGGAGTATATGGAGAACGTTTTACGCAGCATACCTATGTTTGTCATTCTCTAGACGACGAATGATTGGGACGCAAACGAAGGATAAGCTAGATAGTTTTGCCACATCTATGTGCATTTATCAATTCAACTGTACCTGCGGTGACAGTTATGCTGGGTGTCCTACTAGTCAGCTTAGCCAGCGAACGTGTTAGTGAACATCTCCCATCGTGGTGGTTTGGCAAAGGACAGACAAAAACAATCCGTAGCTCAATTTTGTCACACTTATTTGACAGTAGTCATGTAGTGGAGAAAACGAGAGCTTTCAAAGTAATTCATCGTATCCCACCGAATCTTTCCAATAGACTTCGTATTCGTGTACTGTACACAGCTGAGGCAGGCGATAGGCATTCGAACTATTAAACCTAAACTATGCATTCAAAACAGAAGTTCGTACAGTCATTATCCCCCCTCCCTTGGCCTATTAAGACATAACCAACTAATGACTTCTACATCACCCCTTACATATATTTCAACCCCTCTCCTATCATCCCTTAATCTTATCATATCTTCGTTTAAAACGTACTTCATTTACTTCCCTTACAATCAGTCTAGCATTACTTAATCGGCTCATTTGTTTTTCTTAGCCTTTATGGACTACTATGTCTACCTGAACATTTGTTTGTTTAATCATGCTGTTTTTCATTATTCGTGTTATCACAGATTGCCTCACTTTTTCATCCTTATTATTGATAAAACCACTATTATTATTATTACTATTATTATTATGACTAACTGCCCAATTTATATTCACCATCTTATTATCCTACAGACAAAACACCATGATTGGTTTATATTTGAATTTTTATTTGTAAAGTTATATATATTAGAGTTAAGCCTGATGAGATCTAATTGAAAGCAATATTGTTCGCTTAAATGTGTTGTTCTAAATTTTACTATAGGAATATTTAATGTATATATATATATATATATATATATATATATATATATATATATAAATATATATTTAATAATGACTTTGCCCGGTTAGCAGCTGATGAGAAGGCAACGAAATAAATGTTGGTACCACTTAATTCTGCTTTGGCAACTACTTCGCTACTACGGTGTGCCACCGACAATTATACATCTCATCCAACAGCTGTAAGACAATGCTGCATGCCAAGTAATCCACAACGGGAAACTTACGGAATCCTTCGAAGTGAGGACAGGAGTAAGACAAGCTGGCTGCCTACTATCGCCAATGATTTTCCTGATTGCAGTAGATTGGATAATGCGACAGATAGACAGTGGGAAATGAGGAAACAGGCATAAAATGGACTCACACAAAAACTTGGAGGATCTGGACTTCGCCGATGATATATGTCTGATTTCCCACAAACTTTAAGATATGCAAGTGTAAAGTGACAAGTTCACAGAATAAGCATCAAAGATAGGACTTCAGGTGAACATAGAGAAGACAGAGGTAATGAAGATTCCTGGACAACACCACCAACAACAACAGACAACAATCAGCATAAATGGGAGGAACCTGAAAGAAAAAACCTCCTTTACCGACCTGGGAAGCATCTTTTCAACTACAGGCAGACGGGACTAACGAGGATATCAAACCAGCGAGGATCGGAAAAGTAAGACAAGCTTTCACTACTCTCAAGTCTGTGTGGACGTCAACAGCACTATCAGCATCAAAAATAAGATCCGGATTTTCAACTCCAATGTGAAGTCAGTCAGTGCTACTTACTATACGGATCAGAGACTTGGCCAGCGCGTCATGAAGAGCATCTCAAACAAACTACAGACCTTCATCAACAGCTGTCTTCGCTCAATACTACTCAAGATCAGATGGCTGGTCAGAAAAGATCAGCAACAGCGATGGATCTCTGGCAATGAGCGAACCAACACAGCAGGAACCGATTGTGAAACAAATAGGCAGGAAGAAATGGAGATGGATTGGTGGCCATACTCTGAAGGAATCAAACCATCAAGTGACATCACACTAGACAAGCCATTGGTCGAGTGGAACCCGAAAGGGAAGCGGCGAGTTGGTGGTCAGTGCAAGGGTGACTTGTAGGAGGTCATGTGAAGAGGAGATGAAAGCATGTGGGCAGACTTGGAGCCAGGTGAAGACTCTAGCAGAGAACCGAACGCAATGGAGATGCACGGCTGAAGCCCTATGTTTTCTCTAGGAATTGAAGGAAATAATAATAATAATAATAAATCCATAAACTGTAAACAATTGATTAATTCAATGTACTTCTGTGTGCTTTTCGTACTTACACACTTATTATTATTACTACTACTTTTTTTGCTGCTAATGTATTTCTGTTTTGTTTTGTTGGTTTTTGTTTTACAGATACTTATACCAGATATGCCTTCACCTTTGCTAAATTTTGATTTATTAATTGTGAAGAATCTGCCTTTACCATTTGTTTGCCTTGGCGTTTATCGACATCATTCACGAAAAGGTCGAGAGGGTCAACGTTTCCGTTTACATCTAATTGATTTGAACAGTTCTGGACCATCGCCATCACCATCAACTCCAGTCCCAGCGCCAACTCCAGCTGTAACACCTTCACATCCTCCTACTTCACTAATTACACAACAGACTTCATCAGCAGCAGTAGCAGGAGTAGCAGCAATAAGAACATCTCCGCATTCTGTACCACAATCACCAGCTATTCGTACCACACCGCCAACAACAACAACAACAACGGGTGATTCATCTTTACCCAATCAATCAGTAGTAGTACAGCCTAGTGGGGGGAATAATGAATCTGTTCAGTTGAACAACAACCATGCAAGTAGTAGTTCTGCGATAATGAGTAAAACACAACAATTGAAAGCTGAATTACAACGAAGAAACACTCAATTTTTGCGTAAGTTTATCAATTGGTAGCAGTTTTTTTTTTATTACTCTCTTGGCTTTCTCGTTTAAGAATTTCATGGCAGCGTGTGCTGAACTGAACATAATCTTGTCTAATGGGTGGGGGGGGGTGGGGGTGAACACTTCACTTTTCAGACACTAGATCAGTCTCAAAATTCAATGGCTTATATTAGTGCAACTGTGAACAGTCATCAAATGTCATCGATGGCTGATATTCGGTTGACCCCATATCAGTTGCGAATTCTCTTGATGAGTAGTTTGTTTCCAGGTGTGATCATGAACTGATACCAGGTAGAGAACTAGTGGAAAACCAGCTAGGAGGACTGGACGGTTGTTTCGTCCTGGTTTGGGACTCTTCAATGGCACTCACCTTCTGGGGTCCGAACGCAGAACCTTCGGGCTAAAAGACGAGCTCGTTGACCATCCAACTACTGGGATGATGGTACCCAATGGTCTATGAATTCCAACCACAAATCAGGTAAGAGGACACTTACTCGCCGGTGACATTGCCTGGTGACTGCGTTATATATATATATATATATATATTTATTACGGATCTTTAGAAGTAGGAATTCGTAGACCGTTGGGTTGGGTTTCAGTTGCCGAAAGGGTCTATGAGCTCTCCTTGTAACTGGAAGGTTCTGGATTTGAACCCCGACAGAGGTGCATACTGGCGAAGTATCCAGTACTCCCAGCTGGTTTTCTAATGGCTCTCTAAATTATGTCAGCTGTTGATGAAACTTGTAACCAATCAACTTGTAACCTGCAAAGCAACACTTTATTTCCATCAAAAACTGTGAAAAATGGAGTCTTACAACAATGAGCAAGACAATGTCGTGTATGGACTAATTTATATTGGCCCAAAATACTTGGTTTTTGTTGACATTATAACGACCAAATGTATTTGGTTATAGTCTGAACGGGAGATAATAGATCTCTAGGTTCCATTTGGATCAGATCTCGATGACCCGTGAATTCTAATTATGTCAACTGGTGATACAGCGTTACCTTAAACCAGTGGATTCGATGAACATCCATCGTGGACCTCACAACAGGTCACATCTTCTCACTATATAGCTTCTGCGTATCCATCCAGTAGTAGCCATCAATGAGCTGGAGATTATGATATTTATGAAGATTTGGCGTCTCAACCTGTAAGTCCTAAGTTTGATTCCTGGTAAGGCTGTGGGTACACACTGCCAAAGAGTCTCAAACTACGAGGAAACAGCTATCTAGTTCTCCTGAGTGTTTTCAGTAATCACTCTACCTGATGTTGCTTCGTGACGCAATCGAAAAACTGAAATACAGTTAGTCAAAATCCACATAAAAAAATCGCATAATCTACATCCTTTATTGTAACGACCGAAGTTATTCGGCTATGGTCTGAACAGGAGAAACTGGATCTCCATGTTCTACTGTATTGTAGCCGAGAAAATTTCACTGAGACACGCGCTATCACGAAACAGGTGAAAAATAAGATTATTCTTCAGTATTTTCTTCATTCCTATTAAACAACAATAATAATGACATCAAAACTCAAAAATAACCTCACCAGTGCCATGAGACAGCACTATCCGGGTAGGCAGTGTAGGTTTCTAAAAATACAACACAAGTACTGTAAGACAAATTAGCTAACCAAAGTTCATTTGAAAAATGTACTTTAGAATCTTACTTACTTTTACTTTACTTCGGCTATCTCCTACGGGAGGATGTGCCGGCTTCATGAACATGAGTTCATGAAGTTTCATGGGAATTTGGTACGAGTGATGTCCCCAGAATCGCTCGGCCTTTTGTTTGAGAGTGCAGCTCTAGCCTTTACACAACCAAGTGTGACCTACAAGGCAGTAGGAGTGGAGTAGGGAGTCCACTATCCATTGGCAGCCAGTGACCGGAGTTCGGTTCATACGCCTTTTTGAATGAGGCCAGACATCCAGGACATCCAACAAGCCCTTTGTCCATACGTCTGCTGGTGAGCTCCAGTGAGCTCCATACGCCAGTCGTTGGAGGTTTGGAATCAGGGTTTAGCCATCTCCCCTAGACTGTCATCCAATGGACAGTCAACCCGGTGAAGAGCGCCGGGCATCCGCTTTCGCCCTCTCACTTTGGTGAAAAAAACACCTCCGCCACGTGAAGGCAGTGAGTAGGACTTCCTCAGGAGAGGCTATGTAAGACGCCCGGTCATATGGGAGCATTTCAAGAGGTGTTTGGAGGGGTGGCCAACCCGCAGCGGAAGTCACCCACCCCCGACCATCCTGAGGTTGTGCCACAGCACTATCCGGGTAGGCAATGTAGGTTTCTAAATACAACAAAAGTACTGTTAGACAGTGCGTCGGTGGCATAGTGGTTACGACGCTCGCCGACCATGCACATGGTCCGGGGCTCGATCCCCGGCCGACGCACACCTTTACCTTGCTAAGCCATAAATAATGATGGTGAAGAGGAAAGGTTGGGCATGAGGCTGGCAACCCCATCCGGTAAAAATAAACACTGCTACAGAAACTTCAAGCTAACTAGCTTGAAGCCCTATGTTCCACTGGGGAACGTGAAGGAAAAAAAACTGAAAGACAAAATTAGCTAACCAAAGTTCATTTGAAAAATGTACTTTAGAATCGAGCAGGAGGAGAGGATATTCCCAACGAGGTGTACGAACAAAAGCTCTGTCCACAAGAATTGACACACCAACGCTTCTTGCAGACAGTCTCGTATCAGAATGACCTTCATTCACTTAAACAAACTAAATATATATTGTTAAACAACACACATTGTCATTGTACACACACACACAACCATAAAGAGAAGTATAACAATTGAAGATTACAGAAAGATTGAGCGAAGAAATATTTACTTTTCAATTAGATCCTCATCTCACTCTGGCTCTACTCTAATATACACGTATAGCATTTTTATTACAATACACAACAGTTTACCAATCAAGTGGCACTGATATGTTTGTTAACAATAATTAAACAGTGTCAAAATGTCAATGGGTTGATAATTAACGAAGAAAATCAATACACATTTAAAAGGTAGAAATGGATAGAATAAATTAATTTTACAAGGATAACACGTAATTAAAGATAAAGTGGTCAAAATAAATAAAAATAAAATAATTTGGACAATTATAATTTTTATAGTTTTAAAGGTTTAGGGGAGGGGGCGACGTAGTCCTGTTTATGCATTTTTCTAAAGATGGCCAAGGTAAGGAAAGTGGCTGTACAAATTTCTTCTGAACACACACAGGTTTGGCTTCTTAAGGTGGATTCCGATTGCTTCAGCTGTTGTATGTAGAAGACGAACTCGTAGAGCAAAATTAAGATTAGTCGGAATGCGATAAATAATTTTAAATGCAGTATTAACATCAACCTTATGCTCAGTATCAACAAGGTGTGCTAAAATAGAACTACGAATAGATCTTGTTTGTCCCTTGCTTAACTATGATGCAGGATGATGTTCGGAAATACAACGATGAACCTGCCTAATTGTACGCCCAATGTAGCTGGCTCCGCAGCTGCAGTCAAACTGGTAGATACACATAGAGGAGGAGGCAAATTTAGGTAGTTTATCCTTATTTCTCGAGCATAGAGTAGGGGTGGTTGTGAAGAGACAACGTACCTCTGCTGCATAGTAAGCTCTTTTAACTGCATTCTTCAGGCGCTGTGTTATGATTTCGCTGAAGATTAAACAAGGACAAAGATCGATATGTGATATGCAAATGTCAAATAATTAATGATACATATATTTATAGTCTAGGGGAAATACGCACAATAATAATTACAAAGTTAGTTGAAATGTACAAAATATATAAGTATAAACATTATCAATCGATCGTCTAGGAGAGAGAGAGAGAGACAGGGAGATCTTCCGAACAATTTTTCCTTTATAGACAAGTAGACTTTTAGCATACATAATCAGTCTATAAGAAGTAAATGTTATCTTTAACAAATGATGTCTCTCATGGCCTAGAGGCGTTTGAAATGATGCTTGATGCGCTGGGTTCCGGTCTGAGTGTTATTATCATTATTATTATTGTTCTCTTGGGTTCCTAGTGGAACATAGGGCTTCAACTACACGTCTCCACTTGCTTGTGTCTTCTGCTGTACTTTTCACCTGCCTCCATATTAGTCCATACTGTCACCCTTGGACGTCCCACTCGTCGCTTCCCTTTCGGGTTCCACTCGAGCGTTGGCCTGACGCGCGATGTCACCCAGCGGCCTCCTCAGCCAGCGAGTGTCCAATCCATCTCCACTTTCTCCTGCAAATTTGTTGGGCGATTGGTTCTTGTTTTGTTTGTTCCCATAGTTTCTTGTTGGTGATTCTTTCCGGCGGCCATCTGATCTTCAGTATAGAGCGAAGACAGTTGTTGATAAAGGTCTGCAACAGGCTGTTGTAAATATTCTTTGTGACACACTGGCCAAGTTTCTGATCCATCCGTATAGAAGAACTGACTGACTTGACGTTTGTATTGAAAATCCGGTCTGAGTGTAGGGAACACTAACTGTCTCATTGAATACGGGAGACATCATGTGTGTGTGTGTGGCGTTTTTAGATTCACAGTTTTTTTAACAACATTGGTTATATTTTTTCTTTTGGTGTAGAGTAGGTTATGACTGACTGACGGGTTTTGAACATAAAACTTTGCATCGATATGCAGCAGTTCGAGTCACCACACTCCCTCAGCACACAAAGCCAGAGAAGAAAGTATAAGAAATGCATAATAGAGACAGTAGACAGAGATATGAGACAAAAGGAATAGTAATATCGAAGAACAATATAGTTTCATTGGAAAGCATTATAAGTCACAAGGAGTGGATGCATCTGCGCTAGCCATTGAGAACGATGAGTTTGAGCCATATCACCAATTGTCTCCAGCCTTCATTGGTGTTTACCGTCCCGAGGACCCCAACCTGTCAGTTAGGAAGTCTACACCTTCCTACGTGACTGGCTGGCTTAAACTAACTGTTGTGGATTTCATTGACTGATGAGGCCATGTTTTGGTTTGACCACCACTGGCTAACTCTTTTCCAACCTGATCCTATGTAAGCTAACATTGCCTGTCGGTCGAGAAGGCGATGACTAGGGATGCATGCGTAACACATGTCCTAACCATCTCTCAATCGATGTAACTTAACAGCCTTGTCCATTGATTTCCCCTCCCTTCTTACCTAGCACTCGACCGAAGCCTAACTTTAAGATTGCTCACCCTATTATACCACTTAACAAGGGTGATAGAACGCAGGCACCTATGATCAAAGACAGCTAGCCAGCCTTTTGATGTCTTCCACTCTCAATGGCCAGGTCTCACAGCTATCCATAAATGGAGGATGGAGCGAACTGCTGAGCAGTACACACGCCCTTTGGTCGACAGCCAGCCGGATATCACGTCTACGCCAGAGACGGCGTAAACTGGCATATGCGAAACTAGCCTTCTGTATCCGTGGTGAGATTTCGTCAGCGATCGAACCGTTGGCACTGGCTGATGCCAAGTGAAGTGGTCAACGTGCTCTACCACTTCACTCCCTATCGTTAAGCTAGGAGTGAGTCAGTGTGGTCCAGTGTTTTGGCATCATTTTACATTTGGTGGGAGAGAATCACATGCCAAACATTCGACGACTGCTTGACAAGGTGTTCAGAGGACTGCTGGATTTTGTCAACGTCCACGCCTAGAAGGACTATATCATCTGCATATTCTAAATCAACGAAATTATTCCCTGTAATAAGTCATACATATACTCTTTGGTTGTATTTGCACAGTCGACATTGTACTTGTACTTATTTGTGTTTACTATGAAGTGATAAGAAGGCTAGTTGTTTCTGTGAATGAAGTCGGGTTTTTTTTCAAGGCGAACAAGACACTGGTCAGACCAGCAGGTTGTATTTGACTGTTATCATCGAGAATCATTGTGAATGTGACTTTGACGTATGTATTTGACCTGGCATTCATTACAGTAGGGTATTAGATAAACTAAATCGTTTTGTTTAATAAGCTCCACAGGATTGATCCTTTAACCGACAAAGGTTGTTATCTAATTAAGTTTGTGAGTTTGAATGCCAACCACTTTTATTCCTGCATTGTTAGGAATTCTCCTTCAAATTTCCGAGGTTCCTCCTGGATTAGTTGATCCTAATAATAAGATAAGAATTCTGGAAAATAGTTCAGCTATAGAGCCATATGCAATTACACACAACCATACAATACAGAATATGGGATAAGATGACAGTAGTTTTAAAATCTAATCTAGTACAACAGGGTGGAGGGAGAAGGATATTGATAATGGAAGCTTTATTCATCGAATCGACTAAGAGTGAACACGTGTATATTAGGAATGATTCAACACCTCTCCACCCAAACATCCGGAAAATTCTACTACCCCTACGACGACAAATACGAAAGAATAAAGAAAACTATAAAACTCAAGTTTCGAAGTTGTGTGTGATTATAATTGATGACATGACATGATTCCTGGTTAAGAACAACAACAACAACAGACAACGATCAGCATAAATGGAAAGAACCTGAAAGAAAAAACCTCTTTTACCGACCGACATGGGAAGCATCGTCTCAGCTACAGGCGGACGGAACTGACGAGGATATCAAAGCAAGAATCGGAAAAACAAGACAAGTTTTCACTACTTTCAAGTCTGTGTGGAGGTCAACAGCACTCAGAATCAAAAATGAAATCCGGATTTCCAACTCCAATGTGAAATCAGTCAGTGCTGCTTACTGTACGGATCAGAGATTTGGCCAGTGCGTCATAAAGAGCACCTCGAACAAACTACGGAACTTCATTAACAGTTGTCTTCGCTCAATACTCAAGATCAGCAACAGAGATCTCTGGGAACCGATTGTGAAACAAATAGGTAGGAAGAAATGGAGGTGGATTGGTGGCCATCCTCTGAGGAAACAAAGCATCAAGTGACATGACTAAACAAGCCATTGTTGGAGTGGAACCCGAAAGGGAAGTGGCGAGTTGGTCGTCAGTGCAAGGGTGACTTGGAGGAGGTCATGTGAAGAGGAGATGAAAACGTGTGGGCAGACCTGGAGCCAGGTGGAGACTCTAGCGGAGAACCGAACGCAATGGAGACGTGCTTGGCTGAAACCCTATGTTCCTCTAGGAATTAAAGGAAACAATAATATAATAATAATAATTGGTGAAGTGATGATTCAGAACAATGAATAGTAAATTGTGCTTGAAACTGTGTTATCCAGTAAGTAGATAATGCTGTTTCACTCTAAGTGTGTGGTATCATATCTAATCAATATGGAAATACTACTGATCGGTTGAAATGAGTAGTGGTGATATGTCACTGACATCAACCAGTTTTTTGACGAAGTAACTAACCTACCAGAAATCCGGTGGGAAGGGTTGTAGTAGTTTGAACTTATCCGATTGTCTTAGCGGAGTTTTACCGGGCACACCACTGAGATGAGGAGTTTGGCTACAAACACACCGAAATGTCTGTCTGGTGTTTTTGATCATTTCAATTACTGACTAGCTAGCAAACACTGTAACAACAGAAGACAAGGGCCAGGCAACAGATCGTTTAATAAGGAAAATCAACACATATTTATAGATTTTAATGTACATTATTGTGGATATTGTTAGTAGAAAATACAGTCTTTTGATTGGTTGTTTCTCACAGAAAGTTAACCTTGCATCTCTTTGTGGCTGTGTCAGATCATCCATATGCTAACTGTATCCGCTTACGCAAAGCCTTTGTTCTCATTTTCTCACTACCAGTATTGGGGACATAAACATTGACGTCAATTACTGTCTACCAACTTTGGCTAGCAGCCAGCTCTCACCACAACACTACTAGTCTCATTGATTCAGTAGTTTACAGCTTTACAATAATTTACTCTTTTCGGAGAGAGATTAGCGGAAAGAGTATAGCTCTCAACTGACTTTCTTATATCACTATTTGTCTCTTTCAGTATTGATTTATTTGTTGTTGTTTTTTTTGGTGTTTTAACAGCTGAAGATATTTTACCGGTTGTGGAAACTGTACAATTAGAACATAACACAATATTAATCTGCTTTCAAGGTTAGTCTTCTTACCTTGTGTGATTTTAACTCTTTTCAAAGTTCAGTATTTGAATAATAATAATAATAGATGCCCATTAGAAATTTTAAAAGATTAATTATTGAAAAGAGAGAATATTCTTGATATGGTTGGAAGCGATCAGCAGGGGACATTGCCTGACTTAGGTTTGGTGTTGACCTTGTTGACCTTGAAGAAGGAACTCATGTCCTGCCCTGAGGGATTCGAAATCGTATCACTCACTTCTGCAGTCAGAGACGTTACCATGAAGTATCTATTCCAAAAAAATCTAAATTTAATTTATGTTGTGATCATGAAGTAATCTCATTGGACAATCCAATGTAACCTTGGGCTAACTTCTAACCAATCAGAACCATGCAATATCCACGACTTTTAATGTAGTTTAAAATGCATAAATGTGATGTGTTATTGGTTTTTATTTACACCTTGATTTAGTCACAACACTGGTGGGTGTTCCCGAGCAAGAAAAATTAGGTTCCTAAAGCCCAAGAGCCAATATAACTGGCTCCATAAGAGCAGTTGAATTGATACATACAGTAAGAGGTGGGGAAGATTTTGTATCACCTTTGCTAATTCATCTGCCTACAACTTGTTTCACGTGTAAATTGCATACACCATGATCACTGACAATTGTAGTGATACAGCTGAGGATATCTGTGAATTCTGTCTGTCTCTCTGGATTCAACATAGAACTTGCCACCGAAGTGCAGCACTTCGAGTTGCCACGTTCCAAATAGCACACAAAGGTAGACAAGAAGATGAGTGAAGAGAATCAATAGAGTTTTGACAAGTATAAGAGTGAAACAGAATGAGTAATGGTAGAAAGGAATATGAAAGATTACAGAGACTGAATACATCTGCGTAAGCCATTGACAACGATTTTGAGCCATGTCACCTATTGTCTCCAGCCATTGATTCTTAGAGTCCCGAGGGCGGGCCCCAACCCTACCTCACTCAGTTTAACTGTCAAGGATTTCATGGATTGATGAGGCCATGTTTTTGTTTGGCCACCACCACTTACCTTTTCCAACCCACAACACCTATATCAGCTAGTAATGCCCGTCCGTCGGGGGCAGGGAGGCGATGGTTAGGCATGCACAGCACGTCACCTAGCCATCTCAATCTATGTAACTTTATAGCCTCGTCGATTGATTTTCCCTCTTTGCCCAACCAACACTCTACGCCTAACGTCAACATTACTTACCTTATACCTTATACCACCTAACGTGAGAAAGAGATCGTAGACATCTATGATCAAAAACAGTCAACCTTTTCATGTCTTCAACTCGTATTGGCCATGTTTCAGAGCCATAGAGAAGGACGGAGCGAACTGCTGAGCAGTACACACGTCCCTTGGTTGATAGCCGGATGTCACGGCTACGCCAGAGATGGTGTAAGTTAGCGAAAGCAGCTCGAGCTTTTTGGATCCGTGCTGAGATTTCGTCACCAATCAATCAATCCGTTGGTGCTGATACAACTTCCCAAATAGGTGAAGTGGTCAACATGTTCTATCACTTCACTTCCTATCACTAAGCTAGGGGTAGACGTAGTCCAGTCAGTCCTGTAGCAGCATCTTACATTTTACAGGGGCGAATCGCATGCCAAACATACGAAGATTGCAGTCCTCAAGGTGTTCAGAAGACTCTGCATTTTGTCAGCATCCTCCCCTAACAGGACTATGTCATCTGCATATTCTAAGTCCATAAGACTATTCCCTGGTAACAAGTCGATTCCTAAGTCGTTAAGTTCAGTTAAGGATACTTCCATTCTGTGAATTCTAGTCTAATCCAGTCTCTTTTTTAATCGGTTGTTTTTTTTGGTGTACGGTCACTGGTATGCCTGTTCATGTTTTAAAGAGAATCTCTTGAAGAAGAACGACGACAACAGCCCACCTATTCACTCACTTGTCCTATTAATTTTTTTTATTTCCAAAACGTTCCCGGTGGAACGTATGGCTTCAAGCTAGTAGAGCTTTTTGAAGTTTTGGTAGCAGGATGGTGGTGTTTATTTTTACGGGATGGGGTTGCTAGCCTCATGCCCAGTCTTATTACTGGCTTAGCAAGGTAAAGGAGTGCGTTGGTTGGTGGCCGGGGATCGAACCCCGAACCATCTGCGTGGTTTGCGGGCATTCTATCACTGGGTCACCGATGCGGTTCTATTCATGTTCATCATATTTTCTTTTTTGGTGTCTTTTCTACAGATTGTGCTAAAGTTGTCAGTTTGAATGGTCAGATAAAATCAAGTCGTCATAGGGCTACAACATTGGACTTCAATGGAATTACAGTTGAATCTATTGGTAAGTAAACATTGATTATTTTTTGTGTAACAATGTAGAACTGTGCAGATGTGTATGCCCACCTCTCCTACAATTCTTTAATTAAATAGAGTCTAAGACACTTACTTCACCAAGAGATGCGCCATACAAAATCGCATAATTTGTGTGGCTGCCGGGATACTGCCTGGGCGCCCAGACCAAAGCAGGTGATTGCCTGTCTTAAGAGGCCATACCCCGAGCCTTTAACTTAAAGTGTCTAGTCCACAAGTTAGTGGAGCAGCACCAGAAACTACGTTCCCATGGTTACAGCTGACCAAAACAGGTTTATACTCGATTCGATCCGTTTTGATTATGGATCCTGTGTGTATCACTGGTTTGGAATGAAGGTTTTCCAGATCACTCAAGTAGACCAGTGAAGTGAGTGAAGTGAAGATGACTCACTAGCCTGAAGAATAGTGCTATGTAGTAAGAAGCAAGATGAGGAAGGTGATGTGAGTAAGGGAGAGTGATGCTCAGGTAGGCTTCGTGTGCTTTTGGAAGTGTGTGGGCGGTTGTTACTTCCCGGGTGCCCACACCGTGGAAGTTGGTTGAGTCTTCGGGTACCTGAAATAGAAAAAAGGTTAGTGTTGCGTGACCGCAGAGCCCAGGGGACAACTGCTTGAGGCCAGCCGGTCACACGCGGCCTGTTTTTGTTTGTTCTTTCTTGTTTGGTGTGTCTCAGTAGCATATTTATCACTTCTGCCCTGTGACACGGCAGCAGGAAGCGCAGTCGTTGTTAATCCGGGCCCCGACCGATCCGGCATGATATTTTGTGGATTTGTTTGAATCATAGTATTGGATTGGGTAGCTGCTTTTTGTCTAACCGCTATCCAGACAACCTTTCTGGCATGGTAGGACCTACAGGAACATAAGTTCCAGCCAGTGTAGCTCGTTGGGTCATTGCGATATGCAAGCCCGACCACCACGTCAAGGTAGCAGCTATCGGTCGGGTCCAGCATGTTCAGCAGTCGGATTGTAAGCTCCAGACGTCCTCATTCACCTCTTCACTTAAATGAGGAACACCCCTGCACAAGATATAGCTATCATCACCTTGTGGCCTAGTGAGTAACACTTTGACGTTGTAAATCACGGATACTGAATTGAAATTTCATTGGGAACATTATGACCTTCTGTGGATGCAAGTGCATGCAGATGACGAGTCTCAAATAGGACTGAACATGCACCATGGATACCGCTGCCACCAAACATCAACCATATAAGTTGTTGTATTCATCAACAGAGTTTTCTTCAGGACTATTGGATTAATATTGAACGACAGGTTTTTCTAAAAACTTGACTGCTTTTTTTCGCAACACTTTTAAATATTACTTGACGTATGTGTTTAGTGAGCTATTAACGAAGTCTTTTTGAACTTAATATCTGTATAGTATCTACAACAAATAGTAACAATAACTGTGAACCTCCTGAAGCTGTAATCAGAAGTTGTGTCCTCTATTGGTTTCATCATATCGGATACGAGGACAGATTATAGTTGGAATCCAGGGGACTTCAGATTCTCTCCTTGTGGTGGCTAAATGTGAATGGTTCGATTCTTGGAGTGGAGTAATGGATACGTATAAATGCATAAAACCTTATACTACTGATAGAGAAAGAGATGAGTAATTGTATACCACTCACATGAACTAGTGGTGCTTGTCAGCCGGTCAGATCGAGGGGATCTTAACACCGAACGGTCTTTTCGAGTGGAACTCAACAGTGATGTACACCTGGTTTGACTCAACTCAGACACTCGATATGACTAGCAAGTGCTACTGAGTTTTGTAAGTGGTATACAATTAACCAACCAACCAACCTAAACAACAACAAACACCAATCACTGTCACCGGGAGAAGTTTGAAAAAGGTCACCTCCTTCCTTAATCTAGGAAGCATTGTTCTATTTACAGACAGGAGTTATGACGATCTCAAAACCAGAATCAGAATGTCAAGTCAGTTAGTGTTTCTATATGAGTCAGAAACATGACGCATCAGGAAAGAGAAATTTCCAGCAAGCTACTGCCGACTTCCACCAACATCTACCCTCACTGGTTTCATATTGAGGATCAAATAGTTGGTTACAAAGAATTGTCGACAAGAAACTCTGGAAAACATTCCAACCAAGAAAATGGAGATGGGTTGGATACACACTGAGGAGACTGTTGGATGACATCGCGTGCCAGGTATATCTTCGAGTGGAGGCGAAATGGGGAACGACGAAGTTGGTTGTTGGTCCCAAGGGTGACATGGAGGAGATCATGTGAAGAGGAGGAGGAGGAGGTGATGAGAGACTATGGGCAGTCGCAGGGCCCCAGCTAAAGAGGACCACGGAGAGAATAGGAAAAAGTGTGGGGGGGTGTTCTGTCGAAGCCTAATGTTCTATTTAGAATTCAAGGAACAATAATATAGAAATAATATAATATACATAGTGTAACGACAGAAGATAAGCGTCAGGCAACAGATCGTTTACTGAAGAAATCAAGAGATATTGATATATATTCTTATGTACATTATTATTCGTCATTATTAGCAGACAAACAGCGTCTTCGGGTTGGCTGTTATCTCACTGAAAGTTATTCTGTCATCTCTTTGTTGCCGTCAGTTTCTTAGACAGTCCGCCCAGGCTAAGTTTGCGATGAGTAGTCCTATTGTGGGGGGGGGGGAGAGCTGTCTGCCAGCCAAAATTGGTAGACAGCAATTTACTTACGTCAGTATGTTTACGTCCCAAATCTTGGTCATGGGAAAAAACGAACAAGAATAAAGACTAACTCAACAACCAATCACAGCAAAGCAGTCAATCAATCAGTGGTATACATAGTCTCGCCTCGTACATCTGTCGATATTTATGTTATTATCCCGCCTCTTTTCCTAGGCATACATTACTTTGTATTTTCTTCTTTTTATTTTTCAGTATGCCTTCGTGACAGTATTCTTGTATTTCATCCTCACGGTTTATTGGGCAAAAGTTTTACTGGAGAGGTGAGTTGATTTCACAAGAATATTATTATTATTATTGCTCATAGATTACAAGTTTATTATTAGTTATTTGAAGTGTTTATTCAACTGTCTACTAATTTGTAATTTTAAGTAGTAAGTTTTAAAATTCAAAAATGAAATAAAAGCTGTTAGCAGTTTCCTAAATAAACATTATATACGATAC